GAAATTTAAGTTGGCACACTGAATGATTGAAACCGTGTATTTATAATATACTTATATAATATATTTTTCAAAAAGTAAGAAATATTTATGTTCAGGTACAGTTTATTTAATTTTTTTATTCAACATTTTTATTTTACTGTTGTAAACGACAAAATTGTTAATTAAAAAAATAGAATAATATGCAGTATGCCGCAACACGAACATTACACGACGTTTTTTGAAATAACAAATTATAAAAAAACAGTGTATACCTTAATATATGAAAATGTTTAATAATTATTCGATTTTTTTCATACGTTTGCTTTGATATCAAAATTAATAGCGCACTCTTACCAGATTTATAGTCACTACTTTTACTTTTATTAATAGAGTTAACATAATTACCAGAATATAAATATGTATAATGTATAAAGTTGAATGACATGTATATATCGATGCGACGGGTGCATATGATATGCACATGCACATTTCTGCGGTTCCCCATGCACACATGTTTATTATCAGCAGATCATAAAGTACCGGTAATAAAAGTGTCGCATACCTGCATTTCATTTCCAAAATCTATGCAAGGACGCGGCTACCGTATTTTTATTGAGGTGCAGTAAGAACGATTCGGACACGGAGTTTGGGGCCTAGTCTGGTCCACTATATAATTATTTTTATTGCAGTCTTCTTAGTTTCAGAATAAATTGTGCATCCCAGATTTTGTAAAAAAAAAATGAGTATCAAGAGTAGCGACAATAAATCAGATAAGAGTACGCTATTAATTTTGATATCAAAGCAAACTTGTACGATAATTTTTAGTAATAACATTGTTATTTTAAAAAACGTCGAGTAATGTACGTGTTGCTGCATACTGCATATTATTCTATTTTTTTTAATTAACAATTTTGTCGTTTATAACAGTAACTTAACAAAATTAATTGAAAAATGTTGAATAAAAAAAATAAAATAAACAGCCTACCTGAACATAAATATTCCTTACTTTTTGAAAAATATCTTATATAAGTTTATTATAAATACACGGTTTCAATCATTCAGTATGCCAACTTAAATTTCAAATCACACTGAGATAGCTTGTTTTTACTTAAAGATCTGAGCTAGCATGTTTTCATACTAAAGTGTCGACATACGGTACAACGCCTTGAAATTTTTAAATTGAGGTTACGTGTTGCATTCCTTGGAGAGCGTTCACATTTCATGGCCGTAAACGCTTTGAAGCAGACAAAAAGACTGACTCAAAACGGAAAACAATTTGCGAACACCTGTGAACTCTGTGAAAAGGCATGAAAACCATCCACACTTGGGTTTGCGGGGCTACACTGGTGTTCGCGGCGTGAGTGGAGCTGGCTTAAGCAATTTCATTGTTAATTTCAATGGTATTGTGTACAACGACGAGAGGACAGGGTATCTCCGCACAAGCCAAAAGAACGAAAACATCGTAACTGTGTGCTCTGCGCTGAAATCTGGTCGACGATCAATCGTACAGTCTGCCAACATTCTGATGATTGACGATCAGCGCAGAGCATACAGCTTCGATGTTATTCTTCATTTAGCTTGTGCGGGGATGCCCCGTCCTCTAGACGTGATTATAATAGGGTTTGTAGCGGCCGGGAATATCGGGAAAAGTCAGGGAATTTATTATTCTTCATAGAAGACAGGGTATAGTTAGGGAATTTTAAAAATATTCATGAAAGTCAGGGAATTTGATGTTTGCAACTGGAAATTTTGTGAAAACCGCACCTGGGTTCTTGAAAGAGAAAACTATTTGTGGTTTTGAAACCTTAATAAGAGGTTGTTAATGTATAAAAAAGATTATGGAGTCCAGTCGAGAAAATATTTAATGCATAAACACCAATTAGTATGTAAAAATGAACTAGCAGTGACCTGTATTTTTTTCAGGGAAAACGTGGAAAAGTCAGGGAATTCTTTATTATTTTTGATCTATGAACCATGTATAACTTCGTGGTGCACTGATGAAATTTTGTTCGGTTGCTAGGAAGACTTCCCACTACGTAATTCTGTTGAGCGCACATAGAGAGTGCCACTCACTTTATAATTTCTTTTAATTTATATACTTCCTGGATAAATATCTATTTTAATCTGTCTAATGTAATTTAATCAGGTGTTTGTATAATTTTAAATTTTTTATCAACGGCTCTTACCTGTGATTTCTTTTTAACTCAATTTTTGTAATGCACTTGTTGCAGAATGACAAGTTAGTTGAACACCAACTATTTAGACTATTTCACAACGAGAGGGAAATGAATAATCTTGAGCACGACTTAAGTTCTAAACAAAAAGAAGTTGAAAAAATAGAGAAAAAGAAGGAGAGACTCGAAGATACGCTTAAGGAAAAGAAAAAAGTTCATGGGAAATATAACAGAGATTTGGCTAAAACAGAGCAGGATATTCGCGAAGTTGAAGTAGAGATTTCTAAGAAGAAGCCCCAATTCATTAAAGCCAAAGAAAGGGTTACCCATATGCAAAAGAAATTAGATGGTGCTATAAAAACGTTGGAGCAAGCAAGAAAGGCTCACGAGGCTCATATGAACGACATTAAAAAATTGGAAGATGAACTTGCGGAGGTAGAAGCTGCCAAAGAAGAATACGAAGCTCACATAGCCGGGGAGTCACAGAGCCAAGGGAGAGACGTTCATTTAGAAGATGCACAGGTAAGATTCGTTTGCGATTTAAAATATAATTTTCTATAATATCTTGTATTGCGTTTCTGTTTTCAGGTAAGAGAATACCACCGTTTGAAGGAAGAGGCAGCGAAAAGATCGGCGAGGTACATGCAAGAATTGGACTCGGTAAATAGAGAGCAAAAAGCCGATCAGGATCGTTTGGATAATGTGTCTAGAATGAGAACCGACGCGGAAAACAAACACAGACAGAAGCTGCACGAGAAAGAGGAAATGGAGAAGAGAATCGAAAAGTTGGCTGAACATATAAGGTAAATTATATTTTGTCTTTCGTTTAATGAAATGCGTCGACTCCACGTTTTTAATTTAGATCAAGCGAGCAAGCTCTACAGGATCAGAGGCAGTTGAGGCAAGATTTGCAATCCGATGTCGGTTCCTCAAAGGATAGGGTGCACGAGATACAGAAGCAATTGGACGATGTCGTAGAACAACTCGGTGATGCAAGAACTGATAAACATGAAGATGCAAGACGTAAAAAGAAACAGGAGATTGTCGAGAGATTCAAAAGTAACTATCCTGGAGTGGTAAGTAGATGTGCACATAAATTTAACTATTACCTTCCATGTGGACAGCAGTTCTCGCTTGTCAATGGCTGGATAAAAAAAAGTTGAATCTACCCCCTTTTTTTACTTTTTTTTTTTAGAAGAAAATGGCAGAGAGCGGAGAAGTTTTAAGAAATTTTCTTGCGATTTTAAAGAAATAGGGTTTAATATATCTCACGTTAAAATTATTGTAATTTTCCTGCTATTTGACCCACATATTTGCTTTTCTTAATAGTAAAGTGTGACTTCGTATTGTAATTATGACTACCTACATGTATAAGGGGCATTCTTTGTCAAAA